TTCCCTGAACTCTCTCTTCCCTGCTACAGTTGGGATGGATCTGCTGCTTTTCCAGTTGCAGTTTTGATACAATGACAATGCCAGAAATTTCACGGGTCCTGGAGATGGACCAGTGCCATCACTCACCAACTTCAGGGAAACCCAGCTACTCAGCTAATTCTCGTTGGCCAGAGAACAGATTTCCTCCCCAATTCCTTGATTCCAAGCTCAGTAAAGTTCTAAGCAGTGTCACAGTTCAAACAAAATACACCAAAAGGTGCCAGAGTGATCCAGAAATAGTTTCAAGACCAGAGAGCCAAACGTAATCCAAACAGGCTGCATTCTGGTTCTCCCTAAAGTATCAAGAGAGCTTCCCATCACTGTGCAGTAAAATACACTCACGGCTGTATCCAAAGAGAGAGCCTACAGCAAAGAGCAGGCTCATTGCAAGCACCGGCGCTCTCTTTTGCAGCACATCAGAAATCAAACCTTGGATGGTCCCACCTGCAAAAAATAAAACATCATCACACCCAGAATGGTGACACATTGAACAAAACTGGGTCACTTCACTGAGTGTGGCAGCATCTTGCTTTCTCTATACTCTCTAATGTACATTTTCTCTACACTTCCGAAAATTAAGTCTCCTGCCCTTACTGGCAAAGAAACAGAGGCAAGAGCAACCTAGAAGGCCAAGACAGAACAAACTACTCATACTGTTTTCCCAGGCAATATTTTTCTTTTATTGCTATGCAACTGATCCATGATCCTGCCTTTCTTTTCATTCCCCTATAGGATCACCAGAGGGACCAAAACTCCCAGTTTGAGCAAGCTTAACACTGTGACTGATTTCTTTAATAGAAAGTGCCCAAACAAGGAAGTTCTGCTTCCAAGGGAAAGCACAAACCTGCTGGCTCACCTGCTCAAGGTAGCTGTAGGGCTTGTAAGAAATGCACAAGCTGACAAAGATCAGCATGTGCATCACTGGCACCTCTGTAGAAACCACTGTGTTGGTGAGAACTGCAACATGAGTGAAAACCTAATACAGAAAAGGTCAGAGGGGCAGAAAAACTGACCCTGAACAGACTACAAGAAGGATATCAATTCTATGAAGACCAGCTGGACTGGGGAATAAAGCAAGAAACCAACACTGGGGAGTGGAAACCCAGAGACACGGTTTGTTCCTCACTACATTCTAGAGGAACAGGGGCAACAGTGCAGTTAGACTGGAGTTCACAGCAGTAGTTGTGCCTGCTCTGGCAAGCAGAATGGACAGTACAGAACCACTAAATCCAAGTCGGGACTGCTCCCTCAAGGATACCTGTCAGAAAGGAAGTAGGAAGCACTGGGGCACGATTTTGTACATGACACTCTTCAGAAAAGTCCTAGCAACTAAAGAAAAAAATGCCTGTCGGGAGTACCGTTCAAGAATAAGATAGGACCCTTTAAATCACACATAAACACTTTAGGGTGCTCACATGCTTGACATCTTAGAAAACATTCAAGCAGCCCCAGACATAACCAGCCCTTTTACATATTCAGTGAACAGTTAGCTAGATACCACGAGGCACGACTGCTCTGTGCTGCATTTGTCATCTTTCTTTTCAGAAACTGAAGAGGGCAGCTGCAGAAAGGTGTCATTCACTTGCTCACTCACCTATGATTCCTCCCACATCATACCAGATTGAGAGCTGATCAGCTTCAGCTTCTTTCCATCCAAAGTTGTTGCTGAGGTAGAAGGGCAGCCAGAAGAAGAAGGAGTAATTCACCAGCTTCAAGCAGGCATAGGCCAAAGAATACTGGAACAGAGAGTCAGACAGCAAGCAGTTAGCACTTGAGAACTGCAAGCTGCATTTCGGCTGCTTTCCACAGTGCTCTGGACCCAGATGAATCTTTCAGAGGAAAGTGCTTTTGCATTTCGTACACTATGGCAACACTATGAAAGCTTAATGCTGATCAAAGGAAACCCAGGAGTAAGAAAACCATTGCCAGGAAAGTTATTTTCTTTTCACTGAACACACAGGGTTAAAATGCTGTCAGCGTAACTTTGACAAGAACTAACATCTGGCTGTCTCTCCTTCCCCTCAGAAAAAAAAAAATTCACCTAGTAAACAGAAGAGAGTCAACTGCGTGACATGAAACAAGCTTGAGGTTTAGTCATCTGTGCATCAAGCTGAGAAAAGTTATGTGAAGCAGTTTCTCCGTGCTACCTTCTGCTGTTCAGAAGGTTCCTCTGGTTACAGCACCCGAAGAGAAATCTTTGTTCCTCCCGGCGAGGCAGCTATCTGGGGACACGAGATGAAAGGTTTGCCCAACCCCACGCACACGCCTGCCTGCCAGCAGCTGGGGCAGCCCCCTGCTCGTGCCTGCGGGGCTGCAGCTCCGCTTGGCTCGCAGGGGAGCACGGCCCTCGCAGCTCCCACACGCGGCGACGGCTCTGCCTGGGAGCGCGGGGCCGGCCGCGGCGCGCGCAGCTGGGGCAGGCACGCGATTCCAGCAGGGCCCTTGAGGAACACCGACCTGGCGGGGGAAGGAGCCCGTGTTTGGAGAGGCAAATGAAGAGGGGGAAAAATAACACTGTTGGGACCACAGTTTTGGGGAGTACACATATGCACTTGTCTTTGGAGTTTAAACGCAGACATTTTGAGATATTCAAAGTTCCAAAAGCATCTCTTATAAGTGTAGATTTTTCTAATAAATATACCAGTTTTAGCTGTACTCTTGATGCCTTTCCATTCTTAAAGGTCACAACGTAATCTTCACCACACACGCAAGGCAGTGTTATTCATTAGATTTCTGCTGGCTCTGGTAAGTAGAGCTGCGCTGTGCCAAGCTATATTTATTGTAACACACTTAGAAACTGTCAGCCAGCTGTCAGACCAATTAAACACTGAATTTCCAGAGGCCCATGGGACATTTGTCTATACTAGAACTCTTTACCAGACCATTCATGAAGAAAAGGGGGGGAGAAACCACAGATGAATTTAAAGTCAGCTAATATCTTTGTATCATTTTGACCAGGCTTCGGAGGTTCTCTCGGTATGTGGTTTCTCGCTCACTGATTTGGCATCAGATAATCTCACACATCCATGTCAGAGGTATTCACACAGCTGGGTAGCACAGAGAGCACGCCCTCAAAATCTCAAATAGCAAAACAGCAACATCAGTTGTTTGGTACCTCCTTATGTTTTGGCCAGTGAAGAAAAGTTACATACTAACTCAAGCAGCCTTCACCACTGCCAACATATTCCACCTATAGGGTCTTTGCGCCTCATCTCAGTCTTAGCACCACCAAAAATGAACCATATGAAGTGCCAAATTTGTGAAGATCAAGAGGATTCACTTCCTTTTGCCACCCCTGAACCCAGGCCTTCAGCAACACCACAGAGCAGTGGTTACCCAGCTCTCTGCATACTGTCTACCCATAACTTCCAGATTGTGTGATACTTTAATCACACCCAACTGCTTTCCTCATTAGGGATACTTGAGAGCACTGTCCATTCAACGGATAGTTTCACAAGGAAATTCATATTGTATTACGAGCCAGCTCCTTTTCTTGCACCAGCACTAATATTCAGGGGACACATGGCCTACTGGTACAAGAAAATAATCTTTTTTTTTTTTTTGGCAGATTAATTTTTCAGTTGAACCAAATATTTCAGCTAGGCAATGCTGATGCAGAAGTACAAGTTCTGATTGAAAGGACAGGATGGGGATGCAACCAGGATTCAGCTCACCTTAAGCTAATGGTGAAACTGTATCACCAGGCCCCACTGCCTGTTGTTTATAGAAACACTTTGCCAGATACTACATCATGTTGATTAAGGTATTTTGGGGCTTTCTGCCCATAGGCAATTAAAAACAACAACATCAACTATTACTACCACCACCACCAAATACTAGCGCCACAGAGCTCCCTGTGATGCTCAGCCAGCAGTAAGAATCCCATTCCTCAGGGCAACGAGTGCTACATCACCAAGAGAGTATCTACAATCACCTGCTTTGCCCATAGTCTCCTTTCTAACTTCTAAAAATGTAGCCCCTCTATTGTCACAGCTACTCATGTACCAAATGAAGCAAGAGTCCCACAGGAAGAGTGGCATGCAGCTGCATTTTAGGGCAGTATCATGCATATACACAAGCGTAACAGTCCCAACCCCCAAAGTTTTAGCAACATAGAAGTCGGATGTCAACAGCAACACATGGTAAACGTCAACATTTGTCATCATTGACAACACAAAATCAGATCAGTGTTTAACAGCACAAAATCAAATCTCATTCAAGAATCTGTGCACTAGGAGTCCTCACCAGAACAACACCTGGAAGGCAGCAAGCCTGGAGGAAGCCAATGGCCTTTGGCTGACTATCAGTGTCAGTTGCTTGAATAGAGTAATTCCGGTCATCATCATCTGCATCGTCATCATCCATTAAAGGTTGGTTGGCATCTTCCTCAGCACTGCCTTCTTCATCTGTTCCAAGCTCAGGAAGGCCTAAATGATGCAAAGGATGTACAACAGGAACAACAGGCCACAACCAGTCAAACCTCTCCCCACTTTAAAGCTACACTCTCTTCTTTCAAGCAATTCTCCCTTCTAGCAATTCCCTTGCTCTCCCATGCCTCCATCCTCCTTTGGCTTAGAAACTCTTCTAGAGGGTGTTCTGAAGCATCACCAGTTTCTACCCTTTGTTTTCTAGGGCTCTTGACCATATTCTGTCTGATGCTGGCCTAAGCTTTCTGAGTGTCTGGCCATTAGTTGGAACACACAAATTAGTGCATTTTCCCCCTTGCAGAATGGGTGGACTCTGTGAGCCTAGCTCCCGGGCATTACCTCACCTGAGTGAGGAAGCTACATGCACCAGCACCTACCCTGGCAGCTGCTCCCTGCTAATGCCTCCCCTGCAGCAGGAGCCCTATGGAAGCACTGCTCTGGGATCTCCAAGATATTAAATGCTCTGCCATTCTTGCATTACGAACTGCGTGTATAAAAGTGATAACTTTTGTAGGCACCTGGGAAGCCTCTACAGCCCTGTCAAAGCTTCATGGTTCTGCAGTTTTCCCCATCACACTGTGCCTTTGCCCACCACCTTTCAGGATAGGACACTGGCCTCACACGAGCACTAATTGACTTAAAGATCTGTATATGCACAAAATACTTTCCTTTTGATGTGCAAAGTTAAGGCTTGCCATGACTTGCTCCTACAGTGGCCATTTACCAGTTTCCCACTGATTGTTAAAAAATAGGATTTTTCCAAGAAAGAAAATGAGAAGCTAGGCATAATATAATGCAGGCCTTGCAGCCAGGCTGTTTTGTTTTGCTTTTAAAAATACACAGGCACATGATCCAAGACAGCACTTAGCGTGATCTTGATGAGGAAAGCATTTGCTCCACTCAGTACACAGAAGTGCAACACCATCTCAGAAGAGTTCTGAGGATAAGCGCTGTCAGAGCTGGCTGCACTTGTAGCACTAGAGACAAAGGCACACACCTGTTTTCCACAAAGAGACTCAAGTGGTAGAACTCTCTTACTCACCCACTTCCTTTGGAGAAGTCAGAAGCCCAAAGAAGACGATGACTCCTCCAGCAAACTGCACCGAGGCAGTCACCAGAAAAGCATACTGAAGATAAAAAAAAAAAAAAAAATCTAAATACTTTCAGTCACACCGACATTCCTGACCAACAAGGGCTTCCCTGTACTCCAGCCCCATCACACAGTAAACATAGCAATAACAATCCCAACTACACCCATTTCACTTGGGAACAAGCAGTCTCTGCACCCCGTGAACAGACTTGCTTCTATTTAGGCTGAAAGACCACACTGAAAGAGAGCCTTTAGGGCATGGAGGTGAGAGCAGTGAGCAAGGAGCTCATCCGACACACAACTACAGATTCGGACAGGTTAGGAGGAACTACTCAAAGCAGAGTATTTCAGACCAGGTTGCTCTCAGTTTTGTCCAGTCAGGTCTTGAAACCTCCTCCAAAACAGATATTCTGTAGACTCCTGGGACTTGTTCCAATCCTTAACCTTAGAGTGAGAACAATCTTCCCACATATTCAGGTGGAACCATTGCCTCTTCTTCCACTACGTAACTTGGGGAAGAGCATGGCTCTGATTTCTCAGTAACCTCCTCATAGGCACTGGAAGGCTGCTGATTTGGTCACTCCTTACGGCTTCTCGTCTGGGATGAAGCAGCTCAGCCCTGTTTACCTCTCCTTACAGACCACATGCATCAACCTGTCCCAGTTCATTCATGTTCCTTCTGCTAACTGCCTCTCTGAAACATTACAGCAATGCAGTGCTGCACCACAGCTCTTCCCACTTGCCTCCCTGCCTGTCAAGATCTCACCACTGTTCAGCAGCACTGAATTCACTTACGTGAGAAGCAGTGATAGATGTGAATCCAAAGAACACATAAGCCACCCAAAGCAGAAGGTCCTACCTTCTGAATTTAAAGGGTTATGAAAAGAAAATCCTTCTATTCTGCCTATTACTTTGTATCACAGGATTCAAGATACTGGACATTGATAACAAAAATATTCCTACTAGCTGCTCAGTGACCTAGTAAGCTGATCTCTGCATAACCCAGTCAGACATGCAGTCCTAGCTACAAGCTAGACACCATTACCCACCTCATAGCCATATTTGAGAACACAGGAAGCAAGGAATGCTCCCAGGATATTCCCCACAGATGCACAGGCACTCCAGAGTCCAAACACAAAACCTCTCCTGCAGAAGGGGGAGGAAATTTAGAAGAAAGAATGGAAGAAAAGGTGACATCAGGAGTAAGAAAGAGATATGATGTTAGAATGAACTTAAATTTATGTATAAAATTATAGCTCATCTGCAACACCCATCCTGTGACAGGCTCAACCTTTCAACAGGTTAGTTTACCACCAAAGAAGCTAGATGGAAATGGGCAGGAACAGGTTTTACAGTAACATGAAAATTTAAATTCAGCCAATCCTCACTATGGGATTTTTCAAGTACGAACCACTATCTCTGACACACGCTACTATGTTCAAACCAAACTGTTATTTAATTCTGGTGGGGAAATAAGAAAGCAACAAGAAATTTACATTCCATCTCACATAATTTTAATTCTGACCTAACAAGAAAACACTTTTCAGCATTAAAATGACTACACAGTCAATAAGTTTGTATTTTGTACATATTAATAACTAGTTTAGCACTAGGAAGTCAGTCTTAAATTGCTGTGGTTCTCTTTAGTTAAGCACAGCAGAACTTACATACTGGGACTGGCAAAACAGGAAGTTTTGCCCTTTGGTTTGGGAGTTTCAGCTAAGTTTGCCGTGGTCAGCAGGCCAGGTAAGTGAATCATCAAAACTTCAACTTACCCAGCCTTTCCAAACCAATTGCCCATGACTGCAACCACACAGGGCCAGCCAGTGGATTGCAGCAAGCCATTGACAACCCAGAGACAGCAGTAGAACCACTTGTTGTAGAAATGCAGCCATTCTGTGAGTGTGCCAAAGAAAAACACCTAGAGAGGAGAAAAGGAAACATTAAAAAATGAGCCTACCTCTAAGGGGCTGGAGGGATGTTTAAAATAAACAATAAAATTATTTTTTTTTATTAAAAGACGGTAGTATTTCACTGAGAAGACTTCACCAGGCAACAGGCAGACCTAGCATTGCTAAACAGGCAGCTCAGAGGCAATAGCACCCTCTGCTGAGCCACTGACAGCACTAAATCCAGAGCCCAAACAGTTCCTAGAAAGGCATTTCCACTCTAAGAGACTTATTTCTGTAAAGCACACAGTGGGAGAGGGGAAAAAAAGAAACAAAGATTTTTAGCAACAACGCTAAAGATACAGTAGCATCCCAACTTGCTACTGTACTAACTTATAAACTCACAAGGTCCTATAAAAACACAAAACCCTAAGCAGTTATTTCCCTCTGCAAAATCTAACAAAAATACTACAGCTAGGTCCCAAATTACTAAGAGCTCTAATGCAAGCTAGCCCAAATAAACTCATTCCGTCGCACCCTGTGCTTGAGGCATGTCTGTGGTCATGTGCATGCAGAACGCAACAGGCCATAGCCTGGTTTGCAGTCACTGCGTAAAGCAAGAACATCTCTGCGTTTTGCTGCTGCTTTAATAACCAGAAAACCACAACGAGATAAAATTGTTTCACACTTATCTGTAGTGGCTTGAAACTGAAGACCTCTCTTGTTTTAAGACAATGTAGTTTTGTGACATACATGTCCTCCCACCAAGGAGGGCATGTAAGGGGATGCACACTTAGCAGGAACGCACTGTGTGTTTGCAAGGGAAACACTTCGCTCGCAACAAATGGGAGCCTGCAGAAGAGTCACACTACTAAACCACCTCAAAAAGTTCAAATGCACTATCCTTGTACAAAAGTCATTAATCAAGTGCTTAGACAGTGCCTCAAATTTATGAGGTTCCTTCCAAAGTACCAAGAAACAGTTACGTTAGGAAGAATTGAGTAATCTTGTGTAGACCTACATCTGATTGAATAAAACTTGTAATAAACTGTTCCCAGTTTTAGTAGTTTTCACTTACCAGGTTTTACTTAATGTGGCACTCCCACTATTTGAGACTATTGAGGTACAACTACAGATCCTATCTAAAAGGGCAACTTTTATTCGTAAGGAAAATCATACCCAGAAATCCCAAGATAGAGTTTTCTAAACCATACTAGTGTGTTCCAACTTACCACCAGAGCAGAGGAGCACATGCCAAAAGACAGAACCCAGCGTAAATTCAGGCGATCCCCAACTATACCACTGACGAAGAGGCCCTGAAAACAAAACTTCATGTCAGACAAAGCCCAAAGGTTGGCAAGAATTGCAAAGAATTGCAAGAATTGCAAGATTAAAATGATGCAGAAGTGTCAAGTTGACAGTTACATCTGATTGTGGCTTCATTCTCAGCAGCTCCCCTCCTGCCATTAAAGAAACCATTATTTTTCTAGATTGTTCAATAAACTTATTTTTAATATATATATTTTCCTAACAGAAAGCACTTGAACAGATAGAACTACCCATTGACCAATTTATGACAGCAGTGCCAAAAAATTTGGAGTGACAGTATTTTTCTTGTAGTGGTAAACAAACATCTTGACATGGGACACAGGTCCTGTCAGAACTAACAGAACCAAAGGAAAAAAACTGCTGCTCTACTAAGCTTTTAAACTCCATTAGTGGTAGATAAGCCCAGTAACAGATACCACTCATTCCCTCCAAACGCAAGGGTGATCTTCCCAATCAGTTTCAAACAAAGCTTGGCAGTTTTGGGTCAGAGTTACTCACCACAGCATAGGAAAACAAAAAGATAGTGTCCAATGTTCCCAAGAAGAGTGTGGCTTCTTCTGCATTTGGAAATAAATGGTTGCAGTTCCAGAGCTACAGGGAGAAAATTGTATCAGGTACACAGGGAGAGTCAGAGCTTGCTCTACTCTTCTGCAATTCAAACCCTAACTCCAATGCAAAAGAGCATCTGGCCTCAGCAACCTCTGATTCTATGTACTATAGAAAAAAAGCCAGTTCCATCTTGCTTCACTTTTAAGGGACAAGCTAGTAAACCAGAAGTGAGAAACTCCAATTTCAATCGGATCAAGAAAAATGACTGGCAATATAAACCCTACTTCTAACAAGCATGCAGCTACCCACTGCATATGCAGAAACACTGATGAGCATCTCAATGAACAATACAATAAAGGCATATTCTGTTTTACATGCGATGTCTCTTGCACACTTACTTTGCTGTCTTCACTAAGTGAGTAATTCCCTTACAGAATTTGTGGCAACAACCATAAGAAGTGACAGACCAAAAACAGAAGGAGCACTAACAAAAGGAACAATGTGAAGGAACAGACTGGTTGAAAACTGCTATTTACAAGGAGCTCAGGCCACTAATTTACTTTCTACTTTTTCCCTTGTCCTGAAGCTTTGTTTTATTTCAATATGATTAAATGAGTTAGAAGATTCAGTCATCCCCAAACTGAGATTAGTGACAACAGCTGAAAACAGTGTATTTTGAGGAGGACTTGAAAAATAAACGAAGGTAAACAAGAACGAGCCTTCTCTCCTCCCCACCATCCCATCCATTAGACAAAAATCTCAACCAAACTAAAAAACGCAGCCCAAACCTGATCGTGGATGCATCCAGACAAATATCAACTCCAGCTTGACTCCTACCTCCATGAGAACACGCTGTACAGACAACACTAAGGAAAAGCCTACCACCACAGCTTCCTCCCAAGTTGCATGTGCCAAAGAAAATTAATAAAGCTGCTGCAAAATAGTTTTGGCCCCTGAGACCGCTAATAGCTGCTCTCATGAGCTTCTTTCAACTTTAACCACAAATCACTAGAGGTCTACAAGTTAGCAGAAGACAGGTAAGCGAATCAAATGCAAATCAAATACATTGTCATTAGGCTTAAATTCTTTATAAAATTTCCACGAGACTCACAATTATTAAAAGGTTGAAGCAAGACTGAATACAGTCTATTGATGCAACAATTGCAAAACGTTTTGTTTAAAGATTTTAAACCACAACTGTGGTTAAAAAACAGAAATCAAAGCTCAAAGCCAACAGCATGTTAAGACACTCTTCTGTTCATTTTTCTTAGTCTTCTAAGTCTTCAATTTCTCAAAATGCACCATTCACACTCCTGCTAACTAAGGTGACAAATTCATACCATAAGGAAAGAAGGACACTATCCATAAGGAAAGAAGTGCCAAGAAGGCACTTTCTTTCTGAATTTCTGAATTTCAACATCCAGCAAACACTAAGTCACAGACTGTAACTACCTTTCAAAGTATAGTAGTTTTTTTGAATGTCAGGATCCCTGTACTTTGCATCCCAGGGATGCTTGGTATATGTTCCTAGATTATAAAAACTTGAAGGCATTGCAGGCCTTTTAAAATAAGTAAAAGCTTCACTGTTTTTACTTATTACACAAAGGCAACATTTATCCTTTAGCCAAATGTCTAAAGAATCAAAGACCTCTGATGCAGACAAGGCGTAAGCAGCTGGCCTGGAACTCCCTGTTTCCATGCAGCTCATGCTGAGACCAAGCTGTCAATGTAAGATTTCTTCCACTTCTCAAAAGCAAAGAATCAGGACCAGCTAGCCACTGCTGAAAGCAAATGTATCTCTAAAAGGACTATGGGAGTGAGCCAGGACATCCATCCTTGCATTTCCACTTGCTGGGAGGAAACAGTACACAACTTTTTTCTCTGCAAGCAAATGCTGCTGAAAGTCTCATTGCTTTTGTTGATGCTGAGATTTAAAGACAATGGCCATGGGATGCTCAGCATTTTTGGAAACCAAACCAGGAGGCAGGGGCAAACATTCTTTGGTATCAGTTTTGGTTAAGCAAGAGGTACTTTCAGGATAGTTTTCTGCTCTCCTCCTTTGGCCAGCCTTTGAACACAGTGGCAATGCCCACACCACAGAGACAACCACAGCACAGATGTTGCAAGTTCTCCACAACAGCGTTAGCCAGTTGTGTTTGTCACCTCTGCCATCTTGAAGATGGGATCCCTCACTCTTCTTCCCCTTCTCCACTCTGCTGGCTACTACACAAGACTGCCGGGGTCCCACTTCCCACTGGGACATCATAGCTTCTTAGAAACTTCTCTCTGGGGACACCAGGAAAGATTTCACCAACAACTGATAATCCAGACAGCTGTTACTAAGAGACAAGAAGTTCTCACTCACACTGAGACAAGCATCCCTAGCAAAAACAAATAAAGGGACCTCTTCAGCACCATGACCTAAGTGTGACCTAGAGGCTGTGCAGCTTTTATTTTTTTTTTTTTTTGCACTTGCTGGTCCCAGGTATCCTTACCCAATACGGTTGGAGCTCAAGGGCCGTGTTGTTGAAATAGGAGGGAGTCCACTGGCTGGAAATGCTGACCTTGACATTGCTAAATGTCTTCCTGGAAGCGTGGAGCAAGGAGTAACTGCCAGAAAAAAACACAAGCAAAACAAGCACACAGCGGTCAAGTCTCCTCTGGAGGTCCAACAGGAAAGGGTAGAACTTAAAATTCAGATACATGCTAAGCAGTCAGTGAGCAGTGGAGGACTGTCAGTCACGGAGATAGTTGGAATAGCGGGAATCCCAAAATTATGGGCAGACACACTGTTTAGTTCACATGAGGAGGCGTAAAATAGGGTCTTCACTGGAGCAGACATCCTCTTTTCAAAGGAGGAGATGACTGTGCAGCAACAATTAGGTAGCTCAGGGAAGGAGAAAGAAAGAAGAATAGGAAAGAAAAAAGAACATGCAGCTCATCTGCGTTGACCACCGTTACCTAACCTGCCTCTGGAAGAGAACCTGCCTCAGTAGCAGTACTGCTGCAAAGGTCTAATGATAACATGGAGGCACAGCTTGTAGACAGAGGCAGCATCTTTCTCCAGCTACTGTCAGTAGGCGTAAGAGACAAGCATGCAGCACCCAAACATGGGAGACCTGCTTCAGGTCTGCAGCAGAAGCCTCTGTTCTAGAGGTCTGCTGGCCCTCTGCAAACAGTCATTCCACGAGACGAGAGGACCCTAAGAGCAACGGCAGAGCATGGCACAAGCCTGACTGTGCATTACACGAGTTGTGAGCTTGTGGTTTGCTTCCTTCCTCTTCTGCAAGCTCCTCCATGCCACCACCTCTTCCGCAGGGGAGCACGGCCTGATTGCTGCGGTCACTCTGTGCTCTGTTGCAAGCCCAGGTGGTCACGGGCTTCCTCAAGGGCACAGCACCCTTAGCTCCAGTTCCACATGATTCCCAGACCAGATACTACTAACTCATTTTAAGTTTGTTTTCAAAGCACAAAGGCTTCTCCTACCTTCACCCTCTGTATTTTGCCAGGCTCTCTAGTTCCCAAATTCAGCAAGACAAGCACCTCCCTGGGCAGATACGTTCGACCTACCTGAAGAAGGTCAGCAGGGACACAGCAATATGATGGTGAGTGCAGTGTGACACAAGGGCTCTGTTTGCAGGCTGCCTCCGCCAGCTCCAAGGCAAAGCCATGATCCCAGCAGCCCTCGCCCCCTCCTCTGCCCTTGGCCACCAAGGCTGGATGGCACTTAGGTCATTTTTTCTTCTCACTTAAATAAAAGAAGGTGGGAAGAGGAGAAAGAAGAAAAATATGTATTTTCAATTAAACAATTACAAAATATGGTGATGTTCTGCAAACAGCA